ACTTTTTTGCCGTATGAGTATACGTTGCCCAGGGTACACCACGTGGAGGTAAGTCTGTCGCACACCCCGATTTTCACAATTAAAAGCGTGCAACCACAAATATAATCCAAATGAAATGTTGGAAATTCCAAAATCATTACCTAGGTTACACTCGTCAAACAGTCAACTGGCACACATTTGATTTCTTCTGGCATCAAACAAACAATACCTATTTCTTGAAACAAGACGCCCGGAGATCTCAAGAGCCTTTAAGTACGTACGAATAAAATTTAGTATAAATTTAGTATAATATAATGGAGACTAATCTCCAACAGGTGTGAACTCCCAGGTACCCAAAGGGTATTTGCGAGCAAATTACTTTCCAGTGAAAAGTTTCCAATCCCACTGTATTTTACCTTTGGTAGTTGCGAATTTCAATCATTGTTTTTAATGGACTTCTTAATCTTTCGTATCCTTAATAGAATATTCCCCAACAGAGTTTATGTTCAATCCTCCCTTAGCCTCTATTTACACATCATTTATTGGTTAATGAACGCCATTAATACTTATTGCTATTTCTAAAACCTCCGAATTAGCCTATGAACTCTCAGTGTTTGTGAGACTAAATATTGGCCTAAACAGGATAACTTTTAACAAGTATTTAGTTGTATGTCTGGGGTCGCTAAAAGAAGACATGTAGCCTTTCAAGATCCCCAAAATAGATCATTTTCGCACTGAATTTACCATGACCCCTTCAGACGGTTTTGCTGACTCCATATTTTGTTTCACATTAATGGTTGAAATCTTCCACCTCAAGTTAGCCCCTCGCTGGCCAGTGTGACCTGAATTAACGAGACACTTGTGGGGGGGGGGGGGGGAGCCGACGTCTAGCCAGTGTGAACATTAAGGTCACCTGCTTTTAAAATTGCTCCCAACGGAGGATTATCAGACGGGTTTTACCATCTTGAAAGACAAGACTGACTTTTGGACTTAAGTGGGGAATATAGTTCATGGAAAGCCCTGTCTGCGTTGGTCCGGAGAGTTAAAATTAGAACCTTTTATATATGCCAACATCTTATCGAATTCGGCGGTGCTATGAGTGGAAAATTAAGCTCGCTCTTTCATGGGGTGGAATTACGACGCAGATTTGACGCCAAACCATTGTAAAAGTGTAGGGCGAAATGAGTGTTTAGAAAGAGGGGGTGAGTTAGAAAAAATATGGCTCTGAATCCAAAGCCTAATATTGATTTTAGACCAATATTCTGTCCTAATTTTCGTTACCAGTTTATGGTACTGATCAACTTAAGAGGGGGTCTATAATAGTTGATTGAAATCCTATCAGAACGATTGAAAATCACCTCGCCCCCCCCCCCCCCCCCCCCCCCCCCCCTCCCGCAAGGCAATAAACATCTGACTGATGCTTTACCTCAAACTAACGAAGTTGTGCAGTCCATAACGGACACTATCAAACTTGCTGTAATTGAATTTAAAATAGGCATGAATACAAGTCCAAGGCCATCATCAAAGTATGCATCCAATCAAACCCAAAAGGACTTAAATATTTTCGAATTGGAAAGATTTGGCCGGACTTATCACCTATCTCGACAGTCCAGATTTTGTCTCCCTGATTCCATAGATTCCTTTCCTAACGCGAATGCGACATTGGTAGATAGGTATCTTCAAAGCCAAAATTTTGACTTTATACAATCATTTGCTTGTTGGTCATTTTGATCAAATTGAAAACTCGAACAAAGTGAGTGGTAAAAAGGTACAATTTCTCCAACTTAGTCTCTTTTCTTGACATCCAGTGTCCCCTTCTTTACTAATACCATAACTATTATGAATAGGGGAGAAAAATTCATTTATTTACCAATTGGCTTCCCATTTGAGGAGGTGCTTGAAATTCACAGAATTTAATTTTCGCCGAAAATTTACCCCCCCCCCCCCTCAATTTATGGCAGTGGTTTTAGTCATGCGAAAGAGAGTAGTGATTGAGCCGTGGCAATTTCTTAGGATGACATCTCCAATTTTCGTGAAGCAATACCATTTGAAAGGTGCCTATTGAGGATAAAAATGGAATAAGGTCTATTTGGTCAGAATTTCATCCACAACCAGATTGAAAGGAACCAGATTCAAGAATAAATCCCAAACCTCTCATTGAAATTCACTCTGCATGGATGATTGGCTGCGTGCTAACTTTGAAGATAAACGGATTAGGACATGACTTAAAACAGATTTGATTTCCAATTTCTTAAGGAGTTAGAATAAGTACTAACCAGGAACTGGAACTCGCTCTTCCATGACCGATACCGCTAAACTCGCAATTTCTCACGAACACAGAAGGCGTTGGTAGAGGTGACTAGAAGGGTACAGAGGTGGACAATAGATATTTTTAATGACAATCTATACTTGGCTGTAAACTGGCCCTAGTCCAATAATCCTACGTTAATACTGATAAAAACATTTAGCCAATTCATGCGCAGTAATTGACATGGACAATACAAATGAATTCTAATTTCCCAACTAGATAAACATCAAAACACGCTTTCAGTCTAACAATGAAGGTTGGAAGGTGCTTTCATCTGGTGCGCATGGGAAGACGCATGTAGAATGCGACTCTTTATAACCATGAATTTTCCCTCTGTATCTCCTGGACTCCCCCTTCCACCCCCCCCCCCCCCCCCTCCATCATCCTCTTTATTATTTGTCTTGAACTTTTTCTTAATCGTGTGTAGTTGTGTTCCAAATATGGTTGCCTTATTGAGAGTTAGTATAATAAATGGCAGCACAATATTACGTCAGTTCTGAAATTGCGTACTTCACTCTCTTCTCCCCAAGTTAATCTTCATACTGCGCATGAGGTTTATGTAAATATTCCCTGTAGATTTGAGACTATTGTTGAGTAAGTCTTGGCATCGTTTTCAACGACCAAAGCTAATCTTATTTGTAAGCTTTAAATCACTTTATCTCCTACTGTCAAATTCACATTATACCCTCATTAATGCAATTTCAACTTGTGCGAATCCCATGACACATTGTGTGACGCTAAATTAACCTAAACTTTGTCACACAAACAGACGAAACTGGCACGACAGACCTCAACCAAAATGTGTATACAAAACTTGTGGTGGTGGTGGTGACGACGATGCCCAATGATGCGTAAACACCGCCGATTTGGCTAAATTATGCATGAGTACAACCGATTTCTATTCTCTATTATGCCAACAGCCTTCTATTCCCATTAACAAATCAATCGGGTGGAGTATAATAGTCCTAGTAACGCAACCTAGTGATATACAAGTCTTTAGCTTAAATAATAATGCACTATAGTTTAAAGACTAATACCACTTAAAGTAGTAGCATGCATTAGTTACAATTTTCTGTTATTTAAAATATGATAAATCGGAATGTCATCCTCAGCATTGACAAATTGAGAGTTTCAATAGAAGATCATATTGGGAATTGAATTTTTTGAACCCTATAGACCAAACTGTGCCAGAATGCAATAAAGTAAACTGATTTTCAAATTAAATGGCCACACAATTGGCACATTAAAAGTTAAGAGATTTTTGAAAGGTTGTGATATCATCTAATCTATAGAATATGACCCCCAGAATTCTGAATGTCTTTATCAAACAGATTAACAGTAACGACGAGTGGTTTCGGTTCCAACCATCAAATATTCAAGTGTTTAGTTGTAAACCAGGAGCAAATTTGCCGGATTTCCGATCATCATCATCACAAATATCGATCTCTTCTTCCTTCTCGCGGTATTGTGACTGAAGGGTTAGTCAATAGGATTTAAAATGTTCCCAATTTACCGATGGATATCAAACTTTTATAAAAAAAGGAAAAAGATCATCAATCGATAGCTCTAGTTAGTAAAAAAAGTTGAAAGATGACCAAGCCCGAAGTCCAGACGTCTCAGAAACATGTTTCTCGATTTAGGAAGTAGGTACAATACATGAAATGCAGATAAAAACGTCTGTAAATGAAAAGTACTTTCAAGTAAACAAATGACTGGGCTTTCAAACCCTAGAATACCTTCTTTCACATCTAGTCACATCGATTTGAAACTGCGTGGAACAGTAGAATATATTCATTGGTTCTACGAAGTCTACAGCACACAATTGGTTAAGATGATGCCTTGACAATATAATACAGATGAGCAAATTCAATTGGCACAGTGGAAAACTTGAATAGCCAACACATTTGTTGAAGCCATACAGATAATACCGATTATGAACTCAATAACGAACAACCAAAAAACAAACTCCAAATTCGTGCTTCGCGACTCCATAGCTTTAAAAAAGTCCACTGAAATAAGTAGCATGTTTTATAACATCTTACTGTTCCATGGTGTGTGAACGCTCACCACCAACAATTGCACAGGCTTCCAATTAAGTTTTAACCTCATTGAGTCAACGCGAAAGTCGAGGTACCATATAACAATAGACCCGCAAATAGTTCACAGGAGAGCTTAACCCTCAGCTTCTGAAGCCGCTTGAATAGTTGGCCAGAGAAGATAAGATTGATGTAGGAAAAGGGAACCAGCAACCGAAATCGTCAGTGCAATTCACTGCCATAAAAATAAATGCTCTGACATCGAAATTCATTGTGATATAGACCAAAATACCTCCTAGAAGCGGTTAACTGAAGAAAAAGTCTAAACGAAATACCCTATTTCTTTGGACAATAACAACTTAGAGAATATTCAACTTACCAAAAACAACCACCAAATTGCATCAATTAGAAAGCAGGCAACTTCAGCAAATATGAATATAATTGTTTAATTACAGGACACGACTTAGCTTCTGAAGCCACACAGACACAAAAAAATCAGCAGTATGATAAAACAGTAAAAAAGGGGGAGGAGAGTTTTGGCGCGCAAAAAAGGAAAGGATGGTGGTAGTCAGGCTGAGAGGGAGAGAGAGAGGGAGGGAGGGTCAAGGTTTTTGGAAGTACTTAAGTACAGGGACATCGTGAGCTATACACAAGGAGAGAGAAAGAAGGCCGACAAGTTATAGGACACGTTTGTTTAGGTTCACCATGAGCTTACGAAGATTGGGATAAATGAGCTGCGGGGACTTCGTTTCATTCTCGCCACCTCCGCTAGAAGTAACGCCATTCTCACAGAAATTGATGAGCTGATGGCATGAGGAGCGAACAATCGATGTGGTTGCTGTGGGAACGAGTAGACTCTGCCCACTCTGACCGCTATCACCACCTAGTCCAGTGTCCGGAGAGCTGTTGATCCGCTCGTTCATTGCTGCAAAGTTGAGAATTGAATAGGAGGGTGGCGGTTGACTACAGAATGTCTGTTGCTGCGGTTGTGATTGATTAGTTTGCTGCTGTTCAACTGATCGAAATCGAGTATAATCTGCGTATGCTTGTCTGCGACTAGGAGACGCAAAAGGAAGAGGTGAGGGGATATCCGACTTTAGGACATAATTTCCAGAATTCTTCATAAAGGCATACGCGTGAGTCGGAGTAGCCACCATATGCCTACGTGGCGTTGGCGGAGGTTGAATGGAATGGGAGGTCGTATTATTGCTGTTCGATGTAACATTATTCGAAGTAAAGCTCGTATCAGGGAAGTAGACATAAGGAATAGTATATTCCTGACGACTTCTCGTTCGTTGAACAGGTCCAGGAGTTGCAGAACAGCTTCTAAGCATTCCAGAGGACGGAGTGAGCCCTCTTTGCTTAGATGGAAGACGGCCAGTTCGAACATACTGGTAGATATCATCCAAGTCATCATAGAGAGCATGCAAATCAGGGGATTTACTCCTTTCATCAGCTTCTAAGTGAAGAAGGTTTGAAGCTGCAATGCTTGCAACAGCGGTGTGAGATGCAGTCGTGCTCTCTCCCCCTAATGGACCCAGAGTTTCTGTTAGAAGTTTATGAGAAGGTCCAACTGATGAACAATGAGTAACATCCTCAAGATACTTCAAGAGATAATTCAAGCCACAAGCGGGATGGAAAGCAGCCAGAAAATGAGCAACTCTTGAAGCATGAGTTTTCAGCTCTCTCGCATAGTACTGGGAGGACTGAGAGGTAGCAAGAACGAACCGATGTTGGGATAGCATCTCCGCGGTGACCACAAAGAAACGCGAATTGCCAGTCGAACCATTATTGTTATTATTGGGGCCACAGTCTGCAATCGGTTCAAGAAAGACAAGATCCCCATGGTAGCAGGATGTCAGATGTAGACCTGCATTGCCATCCTTCACTGAAGAAGTGGAAGTTAGCCAATTTGCTAGACTATGGTCCATTACTGGCCGGACAGTTAAAGGTAAAGGGAAGTATGACAAGAGAGTTAGAACGGAATGAGCGCCTGAATATGCCCAACCGGTGTTTTTATTATCCCGAGAATTTGGTGGGGGAGTAGCAATGGGATAAAAGGAGACGCTTTTATCGTCAAGAGGGAGATAAACAAGACGAGAACCGCTAGCAAACCAATAGAGGGCGTCATCAGGGGTAAGATTGTTAGCAAGAGAGGCATATTTTGCAAGAGATTTACTTCCAACAACTTCACATTGAAGCAGGGATGCAGTAGATGGGAATTGAGAGCTAGATTTCGACACCAATCGACAGTTTTTACAATCCAATAATCGGAGAACGGTTCCGGGATGTAAGTGGACAACATTATCGAGATCAAGTGTCACAGGACCTCGGGAACCATTCATAGAAACAGATAGGATGCATTTTGTCTGTTTTCGAAGGAGGAACATGGAGGGTCGGGCTTTCCAGAGGGCTTTACCAGAATTCCATGAAAGAATATCCGATCTCTGAAAGGTGTCATTTCGCTGCTTCAAAATTTCGAACCAGAATGGAGAACATGAGGTAAAAATGAGCGGGATTTGGTCATGAGAGGGAGATGAAGAAGAGGATTGGTCATAGGAGGATTGACATTGGGAAGGCCGATTAGGTTGAAGGCGTTCAAAAGCAGAGGAAATGGAATTCCATTTAGCGGAATGCGAATTGGAAGTTTGAAGATTTGTCCAACATCCCCGGACCAAACTAACTCCACAGACAATTTTCAAAGCTAAAGCAGGTTCCTGTTTAAGTACACATTTGCAACCGGTTTTATGGCATTCAATACGAACAAGTTGGGAAGGCTGATCAACACAATATGCGAAATTTGCATCACACTTTTCTTGTTGAATCAATTCCCTCGCCTTCATCCGTAACAATTCTGGCGCTCGACCAGCATTCGCGTTGTGCTGCGAGTATACCCATTCAATTTGGGACTTTGAGGTGATGGAATTTTGTTGTGGTTGTTGGTGTGCATAATGGAATTGATTGGGGTTTTGCTGATTTTGCTGGGATGATTGAGCATTTTCGCAGCAGTTTTGTAGAAAAGATGAGAGGTTTTCAAGTACTAGGGTAGGGACAGCAGGCATTGTTGGTTGTCTGCCACCTTCATTCCTCAAATGTAATCGATAGGATGAAGGTTGATCATTTTGGGCATGCAGAGACTGCGTAGTCTCCATTTTGGAATCAAGAAAATCCTTAGAGGATAACAATCCTTGGGCTACCATATGCTGAGACTTTCCCTTATCATCCACACAATAAAAGCTTGAGAGAGAATAGAACGCTAGAAAAAAAGCGACAAGCCCACCGCCTCTCGATAGCGCAAAAATATGCGCTTTAGGGCAGAACAGTCATCACTGCCGTCCATTCTATTTCAATTGGTTAGCTCTGAACCAATTAGGTTGCAACGAATGACTAAACATCTGGTCTCGTCTTAAGACTGGTAGCTTGCATGCATACCTAGACACGCAGTGCGGCCTGCATCCATTTATGGGAGACATGTGCGCACACCAATCGGCGCGCACTTTGGTCAAAAGTAGGGCTAAATCACCTGTGCTTTGCTCAGTTGCCTACGTTGGGACTATCCATAAAATAGTCGTCGAAATCGATCGATTAGAAGTCCCCAATCGTCAAAACCACAGAACATTTCATTACTGAAGTGATCCTTATAGTGCTGGCGTTGGTGGAAAATTTAGCAGTGTAGGGTCGTTTTCTTATTCGAAATCTTACTTAAACCGTTCTCTAGTTGGCTTTGTTTCATTATTTAACAGATATTTTTCGCAAGGGTGTTAAGTTTAAGGGAGTTGTACATTAAAGTGATAACAGTTAGCAAATATTTAATTGGCCGCATTTCGGCACGATATGATCGTGATTATCATAAAGTTATAGGCCTGCTCTCTTCTCGTCCCGTCTACTTCGCCGCCAAACTGCTCTGATTTTGGCGAAAGATTAACTACCAGTTATGCTTAATATATTCACGCACAGCGAATTTCGCCCATTACCAAATCTAACAGTATTCTTTTGCTATGCATGAGGCATTTCCATCTTCAAAATGACAAGCAAAAATGCAGAATGTGATTTACTTTCAAATCTAGCTCTAACAATTTGTCAATTTAATCCCCAATAGTTACATTAACGAAAACCACACATCCGTCCTTTAATTCAAATTAACTGACAATTTTTATCAAACAAGCTAATTCAATCGATTATTTTGCTTATCTCTGCATAAGCTAAATTCTCACAAGCGTAAGTGCATGTGGCATGAAAGCCTTTGTGCATGAAGCGGCCAGCTTACTAGGTACAACTACACACATTAAAGTGAGTCATTTTGTCGGTCGGTACCATGGTAATGTAGGGTGGCATTGGTGCGTGCTTTATGCGTGCCTTTCCATTAAGGGCGAGATGAGTAAGATTAGTGAATGTCATGACCACCAAAATCTAGTATAAAGGTCTCTTTAACAGCCTAACTCGAAATTTGAATGATAATAACAAAGCTCTACCATGAATAGAATTCTAGGCTTGGGGGTAATCACGAAATTCTCGAAGTTCTTTTTCATTTACACTTAGAAGAAGGGCAATTAGATGTTTCCGAAAGTAAGTGAGGTTTGAAATAAACAGGGAGCTGAATAAATTCGTTCAAAGCGTTCGCTAATGCGGTTACTTTGTGAATCAGTCCTGTTTATAAATTAATGGCATAGAAACCAAGTTATACGGTGAATGATTTCTCAAAACATGCTTCAATCCTGAACAAACTTAGTACTGCAATTATAATGTTAAGGTAATATTGTAATCAACACAATTGAGTCTTAGCATCAATTAGATTGGTTTAATCGAATTAAACTGAAAGTAACATCAGCACTTACCTATCCTTAATATTCGTAAAAAGTACTATTAAGATAGACTTTTCTAGTTCACTTTCTCTCACTCCCTCTCTCTCTACGCACATTCATTAGACAAAGTGCGTTAAATGAGACTGTAAAGGCGCCGATTCAGGCTGAGCTCGATGCGAAATGAAAGGCAAAAAATCGTTCTGTTAACCAAAATGAAGCTTGATTGTTCTATAATAAAAAAAAATAATGCTCTGCAAATAATGCTCATGGCAAAGCCAAAGCGATTTCAAAACTGATCACGGGAGCACTTAGATACGTAGGAAGGAGAAATTAGCTTGCTTCAAGAGGGATTGGAGATAGTAAGACTGAGGGAGATCAATCGCATTTAGGCTCCAGGATCACCAAATCAATTGATTTTCAGACAACTTTCCTTTCATCAGACGATTTCACTCCCATCCACTTTTACATAAATCGCGTGACAACCAACCTATGGGCAGAGGAATTCACTTGTCATTAGATTTTCCTTACCCTTGTCGTTCTAACGGCCCTTATTCAATATTAGATTTGATTCAATCTAGATATTTAACGCACTTAGTCATTGAAATTCGATACATTTATGGTATTTTAATTACTCACTTAAATCGAAACCATTTTTTTTCGTTTCTTGAAATTATTATTATTTTTTTCTTATTTGATGAAGAGGAGAGAATCATTTATGTCCCTGTCAAGGAGATCAATAATTTTAATATAAAATTTGAATTTATGGAACGAGGTTGGAGAATCGTGGTTTAGAAAATAAAAAAAATTAAATCAGCAGCTTTTCTAGTCTTTCTTAACCCCAAAAACATTGGTGTGGAGATTAGCTCAGAACCCATCTTCTCTTTCACGGGATCACGAGTTTCACATTCCTCTCAATTTTAGAGATTATTCAACTCTCAGCTTAAAAGCTTCCTAGTATTAATTTGGGATGGACTTAAATTTCCAACATGGTCATTGTTACGATAGGAGCCCCTTAAAATGCTAATAATCAATCTAAAAATTTCATTACAAAGTGGATTTATATGATAAATAGCCCTGGTATTACCGGGTAAAGAAAATGAGAAACAAGATAACCGATATCTTTTGGTCTTGGCGCTGGGTTCATTAAGTTCGTAACATTTGAACGAAGCTGTGTACCAAAACACAACCCAAACTTGACCGCTCGCCGAAACAGTTCGTATCGATTTTGAAGAACGCAAGGCACTTCGTTAATAATTTTATCAAATCGAGATTTGCTGCCGCAAGCTTTCACCGGAGGGGAGGTAGGTGAGTCATCCATTTACTTGTGTTTGAGAGGGTGCACAAATTGTCTCCCCCCCCCCTGGGGAATACCTACCTGTCCCTCCGATATGTTGAAAAAGCCATAAATTTAGCGGTCTTTTATTACTACTAATTTATTAAAGTCCTGCCGGCCGAGTTTCGTCTAGACGCCACAGTAGAGAGCTTCACACAGGTAAATTTGTCAAAACTTTTTTTCAAGCGAAGTGCTGAAGAATACTGAGTGCACTTTTTTAAAATGGCGAAAAAATGAGTGTGCCGACAAATGGTCATGCTAACTGTGTCGTGCTTTTTCAGTCCACTTCAGAGATACAACTGGCTGTAGAGAGAGACAGGGGACCGCTCCGAACCTCCGCTTGAAGTATTTTCTGCGCGATATTACTCACAGGCTTTTCACCTACATTTCAAATTCCGTTGACAGGCCGCCTCCACATCACTTTCCTTTTAAAAGCCGTCCAATTTCGCGTCTAACGGAAAGGTCAGGAAACTTTGTTTTTCCTCTCCCCTCATCTCACCATTAACAACCTTAATTAGTCTGCCTGAAAGGCATTCATTTGTCTATATTTCCCTCTTACGACGTTCATTTGAGCCGATTTTAACTGAACTTTGCGTGTTATTGGAGAGTTGACTAAGTAGTAAACTTAACGGCTTAACTATCATTTAAAAAGTCCTAAACTGGGGGGGGGGGGGGGGGTGGACAGTGCAAATAACCGTTATAAACTTGGAACAATAAAAAACTGCACTCTGTGAGAAAGGTATATAATCGATAGTGTCAACTTCGCTTGTTGATAATCTTAAGGAGCAATTAACCGCTTCGAAGACACACGTTGAGCAAAAGTTATATTACTAAATTCCTTTTAAGTATTCGAACCAAAAGTAATGGAGTCGGTTGAGGGAATGAAATTCTGTATCTGAGGCCACAGTGGGGCTAGTGTGCGGGCTTCAAATTGATTCACAGACATTATTGGTTTCACAGTCAATTTTGGCATTGGTCGGCCGAGTCATGCTGCCGTTACCTACTTGGCCTATTATTACCAATCCTCATTAATTAACCAGGCCTACAACAACAATAACTCTTAGAGTGGTCAAAAATTCCATGTTGACACCTAAATTCAACCTAATCATCTCTGAAAAAATACAAGAGACATCACCTTCGGCGAAGAGGGTGAACGCATCCAAAAACCATGATAATTTGGACAAATTAAGTTTTTTTGACTCGATTAGTATCATTTGCACTCTATTCAATTCAACTCGTCTCTTATCTACCATCTCCTGCTTTTCGCATAGTAAAATTTTCTCCAATCGGACAAGATTCAATTGTTTGTGCTTATGCAGGTCGTGTCAATTCGTTCAGAAGTTTCTTCGTCTTTGTCAGGTGACTATTATCACGGACCACTTATCTGAGAAGAACACCTCTACAACACTTTTAAGGGTATATGTTTGCGAAGGTCTTCATTGGGTTCCAGCTTCATGGTGGCGGTTGAAATCTTCTATTTATTTATTTATTTCAAATGGCAGGCTTTGTGATATT